CCCCGCCCCGCCCCGCCCCGGGGCTCGCCGAGCGGGGGGCGCGCGGGCTGAGCCAGCGAGCCGAGTGGCGCTGGGGGCCCGGAGGGGCGCGGGCGGCGGCTGCGCTTTCAGCGGCCCCTCCTTCTGCACTGCCGGCCTCTGCAGTCCCCCCCCACTTGGGGCCACCGCTCCCTTCCCCCCAATACCAAAGCCCCACCCTCGCGGCGCCGCAGCCTGAGGGCTCGCCCAGAGCAGGGGACCCCTCAGAGGCCCCCCCAACCCCAAGCCCAGTCGGGAGGAAGGCCTGAGTCAGATTAGAGGTTGTGGATTAGAGACCTCGGAAACCACGGAGCTCATCAGTACTAGCGGAACGCTCCGGAGGCTCCTGGAGGAGGTGGACTTAGCTCAGAGCTTTGAAGGAGCAGAGAGGGGACCCTCCAAGTGCCTGTGGGCGGAAGGGTGGGCTCAGGCCAGGAGCTGGGAAGGGGTCTGCCGACCCCAACTCACCCAACCCAGGCTCTGCAGCCTCCAAAGCAGGGTCTGTGGTTCCCCGAAGTGTCCCTCCCAGAGCGCTGCCCGGAAACGCACCCTCCCTCCCGGGGATCCAGGCACCCAGCGCCCCCGGCCCAAATCGGGCTCGGGGTAGTGACGGCGTTCCCATCCCGAGGCTGCAGAGGTTCACAGGCATAGAGCGAGTTGCTGTTCCATCACTGGGTCGTGTCCAACTCTGCGACCCCATAGGCTGCAGCATGCCAGACATCCCTGTTCTTTGCTATAGAGTAGTGAGCCCTTGTATGAAGCAGGTAAGAGATGTGCTAGGACTCAGGAAGCACAGCCCTGAGGGGGAACAACCCGGGTCTCCAGCCCCAGGGGCCAGCACACCTCCCACTCTGTACCTCTCCCCAGGTCCCACTGCACTGGACTCTGAGCCTGGTACCCAGGAGGGGATATTTTCTACAGATGCCCATCCCCACCGCCACCCTGGAGAGGAGCACTTCCCTTTTCTGAGCATCTCCAAAGGCCAAGACTTTTGCTGGGACATTCCCCACATGCCAGGCAAGCCCCTGGAATGCCAGCGTGACCACAGGCTGCCCACAAGGTCTTGAGGCTAAAGGCAGAGGGCACTGAACTAGCTCCCGGGCTGGTTGGTCTGTGCCACTGCCCCCCGCCCCCCCCAGGCAGGCTCCTCCAGGGGCTTTTATCTTCCAGGGTAATTCTGTTTTACCTTCCCGTTATTGTAGGTCAGGTAGGTTAACTGGCAGGGCCTTGAGCCCCAGACAGCCACTGCCCATAGCACACCCTCCCACAAAGCTCTGGAAAGCTGAGAAACCAAGTTTCTCATTTTGAGGTCATCTGATAGGTGTTTCCCTGGTGGTTCCGTGATAAAGGATCCACCTGCCAATGCAGGCGAACCCGAGTCTGTGGGTTCGATCCCTGGGTCGGGAAGATCCCCTGGAGGAGGAAATGGCGACCCATTCCAGTATTCTTGCCTGGAAAATCCCATGGACAGGGGATCCTGGCAGGCTACAGTCCATGAGGTCGCAGAGAGTCGGATATGACTTTTAGTGACTAAACAACGACAAATAGGCTTGAGACCCAGGGTCTCCATGGCTGTGTGACTGTAGGCAAGTTACTTAACCTCTCTGAGCCTGTTTCACCTTTTGTAAAAGAGATGCAAATCCCTCATCTCAGGGTGGTGGAAAGATCCCTGAGGACTTGGAGCTCAGACCCTGTCCCTGGCCACCCTCAGAACCCATTGCTATCCCCAAGAATCTCTAGTTAGGACCAAGTCTCTGGCCAGCTACCACGGCTCTTAAGAGAGGATGCTGAATAACTGAAGTCTGGGGGCAGCAGTCCTGTGCTGACAGCGAGGACTGGGATCTGCTGAGACACGCCTGCTGTGGAGCTGGAGTTGGGGGCTCCTGCCTCTCAGTCAGGCCAGGGGTGGGAGCTGGTCCAGGCCTTCCCAGGTTATGCTTTTGATGGGTGCAAAGACTGGAGAGCCTGGCTGGGTGGTAGCCCTGGCTTATTGCACTGGGCTTCCTGCGGTCGAATGCACACCCTGGTGCTCAGTTTTTCCATCTCTAAAACGGGCATCATGATAGCATCTGTCCCGGGAGAGAAGCCGAGAGGACAGGAGCCCACATACATGAATGGGACCAAGGGGTTCCTGGGACGTGGCACTCGGTTTTCGAACCAGGAAAATCTTGGGCAGATGGGGACAGGTTGGTGACTCCACACACCAGGCACCTAGATGACAGAGCCTGGCACATGGTCAGTGCTCATAAACGCCAGCTGGTCCTGGGGACACAGATGGGCCAGACTCCCTCCAGCCCCGTAAGGTCCCCAGGAAGTCCCAGGACCCTAGTCGTATAGTCAGAGCAATGGTGGAGCACAGCTTTAGGATCATTTGTCCAGGAGCGTAAGCCTTGTGCCAATTTGCTGAATAAATTAACATCAGATAGAGCAATGTGGGGGATGGGACATAGAAAGGGGACCTTGGATTTCCCCATGGACAAGGGCAGGCAGGTCAAGTGAGCAGAATAGAGACTGAGGCATTGGGGAATCAGGTTAGTCCTGAGACTGGGGGTGGGAGGGCTGGGGAGGAGTCAATATATGAGGAATTGAGGTTAATTTTAACAGGTGTGGAGCCAAGTGATTATTATTTAATTTCTTCTGAGTAGACAATACATTCACATCGTTCAAATATCCCAAAACCTAAAAAGGCCTTTGTCCTCCACCTCCCTCCACTCCCACCCCACTGCCTGCATAACTGCTATTAGACTGTTTTCCTCTCCTTGAACTTCAAAGACAAGCAAACAAAGAATTTTTTTTAATTGGAGGATAATAGCTTTACAAAATTGTGTAAACCCACACTCCAGTGGGTTTCAAGCCTATTTGTTGTTGTTTAGTCACTTAGTCGTGTCCGACTCTTTGCGACCCCATGGACCGTGGCCTGCCAGGCTCCTCTGTCCACGGGATTCTCCAGAAAAGAATCCTGGAGCCGGTTGCCACTGCCTCCTCCAGGGGATCTTCCTGACCCAGGGATCGAACCTGTGTCTCCTACATTGCAGGCAGATTCTTTACCACTGAGCCGCCAGGGAAGCCCTTAGATGAGGAGAAAGGAAAGCATCTCAGGGTTTTTG